GTTATAGCTTTTTAAATTTGTCTAATATTTTCTATTTCTCTTTTCTTTCTGTTTTTCTTGATCATTTTTCATTTCCTACCTGTGAGTAGGAATACTCTTCAACAAAGAAACCAGAAAGGCAATAGAGTTTACTAAAAACACAACAAATACCAGTCTTGTTATTTACCATGCTACCTCTTTTAAATTTATTCATTTTTCTAATTTCTATTACTCCAATCTTCCTAATCTCTCAGTGTCTTCTGAAATTTTTAGATTATTAAAATTTTTTAATGTTAATAAAATATTTCAGGAATACTAAAAGTGCATAATATAATGAACACCAAAGTATCTTCCATACAGCTTAAGAAAGAAAACATTGTAGATATAATGATTTCCTGTGTAAGGTCTCAATGATGCCATTCTCTCTTCTCAAGAGTAACCTTTGTACTGAATTTAGAGTTTATCAATCTCAAGGATGTTTTTCAACTCTTTACTACAGTGCATATAATAATCAACAATGTACAGTGTTGTCATGCATGTCTCTAAACTTTATATAAAAAGTATAATACTGTATGTACATTTAAGCAACATGCCTTTTTCACTCAATGTGATTTTGAGATTTAGTCACATTAAGATACGTGACTGATTCCAATGTTAGGTAGTACTCTATTGTATTAATGTATCAATTCACCTGTTGATCAATTTATGGCTTTGAAAAGTATTGAAAGGAAAAAAAAAAGTATTGAAAGGCTTTTTAGTATTGAAAAGTACTGCAATGAACATTCTTGTAAAATTTCTTTGTAGGTTGTATGAGTTCCAAATATCTTCTCTCAGTCTCTGTCTTGTCTTTTAATTGATTATGGTACCTTTTATGCACACTATTTTCATTTTAATAATGTTGCTTTGATTACATTTTTCCTTTAGGATCTGTGCTTTGTGGGTTTTGTTTAAGAAATCCTTAATTATCTCATGGTCATAAGGATGGACCATCTAAATTCTAAAAGTTTAAAGTTTTCCTTTTTACATTTAATATGCCTAGAATACTGTACATTTTGGTTTAGGTGCAGTAGTGATTTATGTGATTTTATTTTTTCCTGCATACATAATCAGTGGTCCAAACATTATTGAATAGTTCATCTTCACCCTTTCTCCATGGATTGTTATGCCATTTCTGTGTATATTAAGTCTCCACATTCATGGGTGTGTTTCTGGGTAACCACTGTTTCATTTTTCTTTCTGTGTATTCCTTTGCAAATGATGTCTTAAATAAACTACATGTGTAATGAAGTGTTGGTGTCTGATACGGCAAGTTCCCTTACCTTATTCTTTAAGTGTACTTTTTGATTTTCCATAAAAATTTTAGAATCAGCCTGTCAAATTCCATGAAAAATCCTATTGAAATTCTGAGTAGCAATGCATTGGATTTAGAAATTAATTTGGGAGAACTGACATCTTAAGTTTATTATTATGATTGTATAATCCTCCAATTATTTAGGTCTTCCTTAATATATTTTAATGTAGTTTTATAATTTTCTCTAAAAGAGTCTTGTACATCCATTTTAGACATTTCTAATACCTTATTTTTTAAAAAAGATCTCTCTTATTGTGTAGAAAAACATGCAGAAAAATGCACAAATATAGAGCTCAGTGAATTAATAAGCAAGTGTATATAACCTTACCTAGACCAAGAAATAAAATCTGGCGAGACGTCTACATGCTCACCCCATTCTTCCTTCCTACCTCCTTTGTGCTGAGGGTAACACTTACCTGACTTTAATATAACAAACTAGTTTTGAATATTTTTTCAACTTTTTATGGAATAATATAGCATTTTTTGTTGTGTCTTGCTTTTTTCTCTCATGTTGTTTGCAAGATTTAGTGTTGTTACATACATTTATCCTTCACTCATTCTCATTTGCTAATTAGTATTCAATAGTGTTAGTATTCCATAATTTATCCACTCCACTGGATAAATACTGGGCATCTGGGTAGTTTCCAGTTAGGAGTTATTAGAAATACTGCTATGAAGAATATTTGTATATTTGTCTTTTCGTGCTCGTGTGAATCCCCTTCTGTTGAGTATACAGTTAGGTACAGAACTGCTAGGTCATATAGCCTACGCTTTTGTGTAATTTAGTAGATAATGCCAAACTGCTTTCCAAAGTCATTACACCAATGTATACTCTCACCAGCAGTGAATGAGTTCTGCTTGTTCTATATTCTTAACAACATAGTATTGTCTTTTTCATTTCAGTCATCCTTGTGAGTATGTAGAGCTACTTATTGTAGTTTTAATTTGCATTTTCCTGGTGATTAATGAAGTAAAATATTTTGTATATGTTTATTGGCTGTTGGATATTCTCTTTTGTAAAGTACCTATCCAAGTCTTTTGCCCATTTTTCTGTTGGGTTGAATATCTTTTTCATATTGATTTGTAAGAGATCTTTTTACACTATGGATAAAAGTCTTTTGTAGGATACATATATCACAAATATCTTCCCTACTCTGGCTTGCCTTTCACTCCCTTATTTGGTATTTATAATTTATAGAATTTCTTACTTTAACATGTGCCATATTTGTCAATATTTTTCTTTATGGGTGCTGGGTTTTCTTTTTGGGTAGGGGGATCCAGTTTAATGGTGAGGTATAGCCAGTGAGTTATTCCTGCAGATTCTGATGGAGCTCACTTAGTTCCCTGCCAATTTTCCCATATCTGCCCTCTCCTGAGGTATCTGACGGTGGGACCTTAGGGTTATCTGTGTCAACCAAATTGCCACTAGCATACAGGTAGTAGCAAACAGGTAGGGGATTTCCTAGCACGTGAGGGTTTTCATTTGTGAATTATATTTTGTAAAAATATTTTTCCTTATTATTTACTTGGCAGTCTCAACATTAGCTGGCAGATATACCTTTCATCTCATTTCAAAAGGTATTTATAAACAGACTTCAATATGCTTTGCAGTGCAACAAAAATTACCTAAAAGAATAAATGTGTGTGCTTTGGCAAGCAGACCTCACCAATTTTCCTCACAAGGGCACTGATGCCATCATACAAAGTCATTAACACTATGCCAAAACTAGAACACAGAGCCACCCTATGTTTAAAAAGTACCCTGGGATCAGTAGCACTTATTTGGCTAATAGTTACACATAGGAATAAAAAAATGTGAATGTAACAAATAAACACAGGCAATTATACTTTTAGAATTTTTAGTGACTATTGGAGTTTTCATTTAATAAATATTGTTAACATCATGTATCAACTAAAGAAGTACAATGTCAGAGATGCAGAAGAAAAAAAGCAAGTGGATCCCTAAAGATTAAAAGCATTTATAAAACAGTGAGACTTCTATATAGGAATAAGGTTGAAACTCAAATACCCACAGTGACCAGAGAGCTAAGAAGGATGAATGAAGCAGACTGGATTTGAGAGTTGTGGAGGCTGAAGCAAACAGGAGAATGGATGTTGTGTCTGCAGTGGATAGCCATGGCTAAGCTGCAGCTGATTATTGCCATGAAAGAATGTGAGCCAAATGTAACCAGATATTATGATTTTTTAAGAGAAGCTCAAAATCTTATTTTTAAATGTTGGCAGCCAAATAAAAAAGTTTTAAAACATCATGTGAGCCACATATCTCCCTGCAGAATCTAGCCCACAAGATGTTAGTTTGCAACATCTGAAAGAGATAAATTCATGAGGCAATTTAATCAAGACTCTTTTATGGATTTTAGCCTCTAAAACATACTTGACTAGACATTATTTCATTTCAAAAGTTATTATACATCGTATTTTATTTCCCATGGTGAAAATAAAGCTTACAGTTTTCAAAAATTTTACCTTCTTATATACACCCAATATAACAACAAGGAGAAAAGTTTGCATAACAAAGCAGGAAAATGGATAAAAATTAGACAATATTCTCATTTAGGATGAAAAAGGCAGGGGGGAAGCCACAGAATATACTATGCCAATCCAGTACCTGCATTATCTTTTTGCAAGGGTTTTTTCCCCACTGGCAAGAACGCCTTACTCATTGCCCTCTTACTGTAGATCCCTTCTTTATGTTTAATGTTAACAGTGGCTGAGAGGTCATCATTCCTCGTGCCTAGCACCTGAGATGGGAAGTCTGGAGCAATGGCATCATTGGATCCTATGGAAAAATGGGAAAAGTAATACAATTAACACAAACATAGACATGAAGTTGAAAAAGACTTTTTAAATAATTGCCTCTTAGACCACTTCTATAAAAAAGGTACTATGATGGGAATGTTGTAAGGCAATTAGGAGATGTCAGTCAAACTGAAGCTATAAGACATATAGAATAAATTTCAACAATACGAGGCAGAAAAGCAAATGACGTAAGAGAAGACATATAAAGTGGAATGTCAGTTCGAGAGGGAATGTATTTCTAGCTCAGGAGGGTTTTTGGATGAAGGAGAAAAATGGATTGTGCCTTGAAGAAAAAATGTGGGCTTTTTGATATGGAGAGGAGGGAAGCAAGGCATTGTAGGCAGAAGTTACGGTGTAAACAAAGACAAGGAGTATATATAAGAACAGTGGACACTTTTGCGGTCAGGCTGGATTGCAGAATACTTTAAGGAGAGTGGTAAGATATACTAAAAAATAATTGCTTGGGACAAAATTAAGCAGTAAGTGGAATCCCAAGCTGAAGAGTATAAATTCTATTTTACATTAAATGCAACACTGTTGAAGATTTTTAAATATGATAATATGATTAGCTACGTTTAGGAAGATTAATCTGACGATACAAAAGATAAAACATTAAAAGGAAAATGATACATGATAAAGAAATAAAAGGTTTCAAAGTATTTAATCTTCTTTTAAAATATGTTTCAATATTCCTACATTCATGATAAGAGAAACTAATCTATAATCAATGCCTCATCAAACAGGCAAAAGAACATTTCTGGACATATAAAGGTTTGTAGTAACTATAGAATTATCTTCTACACAATGGTTTTTCTTTTTAATCCAAGATCCTATACTTTGTGTATTTCCTGAGCTCCTAATACGTGTATGACAATAAGAGCTGGGTAAGTACCAGAATCATCAGGACAGTGAAAATAAATATAAATAAGCTATGAAGGGGTCTTCAGGACAGACTGCAAGGATAAGACCAAGCCTTCTGGGTCAAATCTATGGATTATACTGGGCTCTTCTCAGCTTCTGTAACATCACTTTCAATTATTATCCCACCTCTCTGGAAAATCCTTATCATCCTTTCTTCTACTGAATCTCTCAATGCTGTAGCTCCTCAAGGGGTCACACTGGGCTCTCCTCTCTTCCTAGGTCAACTCATTGACTACGAAGGTATGGCCCACTATCTATGTGCTGATGACAACAAATAATGTACCACTGGCTGAGACCTTTCTTCTGAGCTTTGGGCTCTAGCATTCCAGGAAACAGATGACTCTTAAAGCATTTTTATGGAAATTAGAAAAAGATGTCCCTTCCGCAAATATAAAATTTTAAGTTACTATATATTGTGGTACAACACAAAAACTATAAGTGGTGGTCATTCTCCTCATAAATCCTCCCAGATTCCAGAGAGTACACAGCAGCAGCAGCAGCAGCAGCAGCAGCAGCATGAACACTCTGCACCATCACCCCTCCTCCAAGACAGGTCACCCTGTCAGGTTCACAGTTAGTTGGGAAACAACAATTAAGTCTCTGAAGGCAGTGGGTGATGAGCAAGAGAATTAACTTCAGTGGAGCTGAGAGGCAGCTGAGAGAGAGCACAACCACATGCATGTGTGTATGCCAGTGAGTGTATGTGTGCTTATTTTCCTGTACCTGTGCATAGCTACAGTGTGTGCAAGTGTGCATTTATGCTTGGAGTAGCACAAGAATTAAAATTATTGCTCCAGACCTCTAACTAAATATCTGGAATGTTCATGCCTATCTGTGCGTTTTCATAAAAGATACTAAGTTTATGATGTAAATAGGGCCACCTCAATTATGTAGTGTCCTTCGTGTACAACTTCAAAATTTATAAATTCACTCTGCCTACATTCAACTGCAGACCTAACATCTCTATGTGGATGTATAACAGGAATCTCACTTTTAACATGTCCAAAGCAGATATTTTGATCATTTCCCCCAAATCTGCTTCTTCCTTAATCTCCATCTCAGTAAATGGTACCTCTATTCACCCAGTGGCTCAATCTAGAAAACTAGAAATCATTTTTTCCCACCTTCTTCTCTCTCACTCTCCATGCTCCATCACCAAGTCCAGGAGGAACTATTTCCTAAAAATAAGTTGACTGTCCACTTCTCCCTATCTCAATTGACATCACTCTAATCTTTGGCAATGACTATTGCAACAGCCTTCTAACTAGCTGGTGTCTTCACTTCCACTTTGACACTCTCCACCTTAACTCTCTACCTTCCCATATACAATCCATTTCTCCATATAACAACCAAAAGAAATTTCTTTATGTAGTAGTTAGAATAAATTTTACAAATGTAAATCAAACCACAATTTCCTACTGGAATAAAATCCAAATATTTTAATATGGTTTATAAGACCCTGTGTGATCTTGAACCTACCTATTTTTAACCATATTTATCCAATCACTCTGCTCTACCCTGTTAATTAAAATTTATGAGAGGACATTGTATTGCACTAGGCCCCAACAAACCAAACAGAAATGGAGTCACTCATGCTAAGTGCCACACGATCAAACTAAAACTTTAAGTAAGTAGGAAAACTCCCAAACAGACCAGTTTTTCCTAAAAACAGGAGTTTCACAACCAACCGAAGAGAGTCCAGTCGACCTGAGCTGGCATAAAGTTCTCTCTGCTTTAATTCTTTTAAAGGAAGTAACCTGATATTAACCAGTATACTTTGTTTGGTATTACAGATGATCCTTGACTTATGATTGGGTTACGTCTTGATAAATTAGATGTAAGTTGAAAACATTATGTTAAAAAAATGCATTTAATACACTCATCCTTCTAAACATCACAGCTTAACCCAGTATACTTTAAACATGCTCAGAACACTTACATTGAATGCAATGATCTAACACAAAGCCCATTTTAAAATATAGTGTTGAATACCTCATGGAATTTATTGAATACTGTACTGAATGCATATTGCTTCTGCACCATCATAAAGTCGAAAAATATTAATAGTAAGTCAAACCATTGTAAGTCAGGGACTGTCCATATTCTGTTTCCTTGTTCCTGCTCTGGCTACCTTATTAAAACCAACTGTTCTGCCATGGACAGCAGAGCACCTTTTCTATGTTATAGAATTGGATGTTGCCCAATTCATGAATCATGAATAAAAGCCAGTTAGATCTTTAAACTACATTTGTTGAAATTTTATTTTTTAACAACCCATACTGCCTTCTTTCCATTTGTCAAACTGCATCAAGCTCAAGTTCCTTCCTACTTCAGGGCTTTGCCTATCCTGTTCCCTCTGGCCAAGACATTCTCGCCCTCTACTCTTTGCCTTCCTAACTCATCCTTTAGATCTCAGCTAAAAAATCTTCCTTGAAAAGACCTTCATAAGCTCCTAAAACAAAATTGGGTCTCCTTGCTTGTTATGTTTGTATTCTTTTTTATTTTCTTAGCACTTATCATCTATAATTATATACTTATTTGTGCTTTATTTATTTAGTATCTGTCTCCCAAATTGAACATAAGCTCCATGATAGGAGAGGTCATGTTTATTTTGAACACTCCTATAAATTGTAGCACCTAGCATAGTATCTGTCTGGAACATGGTAATAGCTTTAATACCTATTGGTTGAAGAAACAAATAAACATGACCTGACAGCTTCCTGTCATTAAACAAAAATATCAATCAATCAATTCTACAGTCACTGTAGAAAATTTAGGAAAAGTATGAACGAAACTACAAAATAAAACCCAACCAAAGCTTGGTTATATATCCTCTAATTGGAACATATACTGGGATCACACTGTACATAGTTTCATTATTTTTCTTCACCCATGTAGAGACACATTTTAAATGGAATTTAGGGTTTAAAGTCAGCACATAGGTTAAACACTTTCCACACAAGAGTCAAAATCACTCTTGAAGGTACCTTAGGAAGGCATGTGTTGAAACTCGTATCTTGTCTGCTCAATAAACCCACCAGAGTCCATTTTTTCCTCCGGGCTTGCAACATATCACTATACCTGAATCTGAGCACCTGATGAAGTACCTGGCTTGTGCTAAGAAACTGCATTGTATCAAAAAGACATTTCTTAAAACTCTAGAATCACACTTAGGCAAGCAAGAAAAGATGATTACACTATAAAAGGCAAATAAGGACTACAATGAGCTTTGAGAATGGGTTTTTCAACCTTTCATTTCATACTCTCCCATGGTCATATGAATCTGCAGATTACTTTTCCAGTATAGAGATTTTAGCAATATTGACTCTTACAATCCATGAGCATTAGATGCTTTTCCAGTTGTTTGTGTCATCTCAATTTCCTTCATCAGTGTTTTGTAGTTCTCCTTAAGGAGATCTTTCACCTCCTTGGTTAAGTATATTTCAAGGTATTTTTTGTTTTTGTTTTTTGTAGCTATTGTAAATGGGGTTGAGCTCTTGATTTGATTCTCAGCTTGCTGTTTTTAGTGTATAGAAATGCTACTGATTTGGGTATGCTGATTTTGTAACCTGAGACTTTACTGAATTAATTTATCAATTCCAGGAATCTTTTGGAGGAGTCTTTAGGGTTTTCTAGGTATAAGAACACATCACTGGCAAACAGAGATAGTGTGACTTCCTCTTTTCCAATTTGGATACCCTTTATCTCTTTCTCTTGCCTGATTGCTCTGGCTGGGACTTCCAGTACTATGTTGAATAGAAGTGGTGACAGTGGGCATCCATCCTTCTCTTATTCCAGTTCTTAGAGTGAATGCTTTCAGCTTTTCCCCAGTCAGTATAATGTTGGCTGTGGGTTTGTCTTATATGGCTTTTATTATTTTGAGGTATGTTCCTTCTATGCCTAGTTTGCTCAGGGTTTTTATCATGAAGTGGTGCTGGATTTTATTGAATACTTTTTTTGCCCCTATTGAGATGATCACGTGGTTTTTGTTTTTAATTATTTATGTGGTGAATCACATTTATTGATTAGCTAATGTTGAACCATTGTTCCATCCCTGGG